TGGAGGCCCAATGTCCAAAGGCATCCATTCCCCTTCAGTCTTCCTATGCACCGCCCCGCTTCACATGCATATGAGGCAAGTGAAAATGCCTTCACCTGAGTCTGGAACTTGCCATCGAACAAAAAAAGAGCGCATGTCTTCAAAGTGACATCTCTGCTCCTTCACACTTTACAGCAGTGGTGCTCCACCTTCCTCATGCCGAGACCCTTTCATACAGGCCCTCATGTTGTGGTGACCCCCAACCATAACATTATTTTCATTGCTACTTCATCACTGTCATTTTGCTACTGTTGTGAATCGGGTGACCCCTTTGAAGGGGTCGTTCGATCCCCAAAGGGGTCTTCCCCACAGGTTGAGAACTGCTGCTTTACAGGGATATTTTGCAGCAGATTTGCATATCATTTGACTTCCTGACTGCTGGCTGCATCCAGGGGCATTGATTGTGGAATCAAGCAAAATGACATCTTCACCAAGTACAATCTTTTCTCCGTTTATCATGAAGTTGCTTATTGGCCCAGTTATGAGGATATGCAACACACAAGCCACCACAGAATGTCAAACTGACAGACAAGCGGGGGTCAGAAAGGTTACAGGATGGAAAAGTCTAGTTATTAGCTAAACTAGTTTTATGATGACTCATGGCCAACAGCAGCAACAAATGAAGCAAGACCTCCAGTGTGATCCAATTAGCTTCCTAGCTCAAGTGATGTGACTCTTGTGACTAGCATGGTGACTGTGGGAATGAGGATGAGGAACTGTCTCTTGTTCTCTATCATTATCGCTGGGGCTGGTTATTATTAAATGCTGCCGTAACTTTGGGCATGCGGGCGTTCCCTTGTACTTTTCCTGGTATTGGGTCATACGGGAAATAGAAAATCTAGCTTTCTTTTTAAAAATCAGCTCCATAGACTGGTCTTTTTTTAATAGTTTGAATTTTGTTCTATGCGTCATATTAATAAAGTTCTGTGCTTGCCTATTTATTTGAAGGGGTAGAAAACAGACTTTGCTTGGAGCATGAAACATACTTGAGTTTTCATTGACACAAAAATTATTAAATTTATGGAATCATTTTTAATCTTAACTCCAGAAAACCCTTAAAGATAAAAAAGAATCTTATCTACTTGGAGATAGATTTAGTCAGATGAGATCTCGTTGGGGAAAAAATTTGAAAGATATTTTCTGATCCAGAATTATTTTAAAATACTACTGAAGAAGTACGGGTCGTTGTGAAAGTCTTGGAACTTATGTGTAACCAAAAAAAAAAAATCGCGTTAAAACTGCATTTCCCAGGAGACCTCGCGGGCAAGCGTCCACCCTTGGCTTGTGCTCTTCGCCGCGAGGTGAGATGGGAAATGTAGTACTCTAAGTGACCCTGCACGTGATGGGCGCGGAGGCAGGCGAGAGGGACAGTGCCAACCCGGCCGGGCCCGAGTCCAGGAGTGAGGTGCAGACTAATCTTACCCCCGAATTTGATTTGCGCGTTGGTATCCAGGCCCCCATCTTATGCCCCTAACCGTGACATAAGCAGACCCGCGTTCAGTCGCCCTCGGGAAGTCCTGGTGGGTGAGCCCCCGTGCCTGGTCCGGTTTCCGGGCAGCCGAGTCCGGGAGGGGCCGACGGTGCCAACAGCCGGGGGCTCGGCGGCGAGCCTGCGCTCCACCCCGGCTGCGGCCGCGCGGGGAGGAAGCGCGCCTCGGTTTTTGCAGTTTCCTTTTTCGCTTTCTCGTGAGAACCGCCCCAGCCGGCGGTGGGCGGGCATGCGAACTTGAACTTGTAGGGGGGCTGCTGTCAGAGGGGTTAGCTCGGGCGCCACCCCCACTTCGCCGCCCGGACCCGCAGCCCCGCCAGCCGCCATGAGCCACCGCGACCACCTGTTCAAGGTGCTGGTGGTGGGCGACGCCGCCGTGGGCAAGACGTCGCTGGTGCAGAGGTACTCGCAGGACAGCTTCAGCAAACAGTACAAGTCCACCGTGGGAGGTGAGCCGCGGGCCCAGTGCGGTGGCGGGCAGGGAGCTTTGGTGTCCCCAGGTCCTTGCTGGGGTCCGGAAGTCCGCGCCCGCGCCCGGGGTCCTGGGGGAGTTCTTGCTTGGTGTCTGTGTTGCCTGCTGTCGTGCGTTTCCCCAAGGGGGACAGCTGTCTGCCAGGACAGAGGGCCAAGGTGTGAAGAGACGAAATGGGGAAGGGAGGGGAGAATATGAGGCCTTTCTGCTTTTTGTGTGGGCGCACTGTGACAAGTCTCCCGCAGGCTCTGAACTTGTCACAGGGGCAGAGGCAGTGAGACCCTCTGAATGCCCTGGCTGGGTGCCCCCTGCACTGTGCCCTGGGGAGGAAGAAAGGGTGGCCTTGATGGGGGAGGCTCCACCACACTGAAGGACATTACCTGTTCTGGGGATGCCTGGCTGGTCGGGGCAGCAAAATTCCCCACAGAGCCTTCCTTGGCTGCAGAATCAGATGCTTCTCAGAGCTGATGAGAGGGGGGAAGGGGGGGCAGGTGTGTGTGTGTGTGTGTGTGTGTGTGTGTGTGTTCGTTCTACTGATTCCTTAAAGCTAATCTCGGAATTCTTTGAAAAATGTGAAATGGGGGGAGGCTTCAAAAAGTTCAAGGAAATGGAATTAAAATACAACGAGGAGGGGGCAAAGATAAAGGGATTTTTCCATAATTTTTTGGCATGGAATTTTACCTCGATCTTTTTGAAGCCCCCGGCATAGACCTGTTCTCAGACGTAGGCTCTTCCTCCTTTCCCTCCACGTGAGGGAGGGGAGAACATGGGAGACCCAGACTTTAGTGAAGGTCTGTCCCAGATGGGACCTGTGGCCTCCACTGGACTGCTTTTCGGCGGTGGAGATGCCTTTCTGTTAATTAGAACGTGTTTATCTGGGAAGAACTGTACAGGGGCAAAGTCATTAGAACCTTTATTAATCTCTCTTAATTAAAAGGAACTGTTAAAGGAAAACCATTTACAGCCCATTGCCACCCTATCCTCCCCCCAAAACCCTCACTGCCTCCTTAAATAAGCACACCCCCCCCAAAATTTTAAACCTCACTGCCTTCCAGTCAATTCTGACTCATAGTGACCCAATAGACAGAGCAGAGCTGCCCCACAGGGTTTCCAAGGCTGTACATCTTTACAGGAACAGAAAGCCCCATCTTTCTCCTGTACTGCTGGTTCCAAGTGGCTGACTTTGCAATTGGCAGCCACCTTGTCCCCAGTATGCACCAGGGCTGCCTTCCAGGGCCCTACACAGCAGAGTTTCACTGCCCCGTAGGGTTTCCAGGGCTGTGAGCATTAGGGAGCACCTCACTGGGGCTTCTCTCACCCAGAGCAGCTGCTGAGCTCAACTCTGGACCGTTTGGGTGAATGTTTAACCACCGCACTGCTAGGGCTCCCTGCAAAAACTTATACTAACCTGGGTTTTTAAATTTTTTAAATGGGTGCTGGTGTTCTTATAGAACTTTTTTAAAGTATTAAGCATATACAGTGCAATTAAACAGTCTCCTTCCCTCACTGCCTTGGAGTTGATTCCGACTCTTAGCGAGCCTCTAGGACAGGGTAGAACTGCCCCCTTTGGGTTTCCGGGGCTGTAAACATTGCCAGGAGCCCCAGGCCTCATCTCGCTCCCTCAGAGCAGCCAGGTGGGTTCGAACTGCTGACCTTGTCCTAGGCAGCTCAGGTGGTAACCCACCGCACCACCAGGGCTCCCACTTTGTTTCCTGACTGCCTGTCCTCCACCCCTACATCATTTGTTTGCTGTTAAGTGCTGTGGAGTCTGTTCCGACTCCTAGCAACACGAGGGACAACGGAAGGATCCCCGCTCCTCCCACCCACCCCTGTGTTGGAGCCCATTGCTGCAGCGACCGTGTCCATCGATTTCCTTTAGGGTCTTGCTGACCCTTGACTTTGCCAAGTACGATGTCCTCTCCAAGGACTGGGCCCTTCTAATAATATGTCCACCGTACGAGGGCCTCTATTACATGAATTACAGAATCCTTGGGTGGCATAAACGGTGACGCGCTGGTTCCTAGGGAAAAGGTTGGCAGTTCTGGCTTACCCAGAGGCACTTGGGAAGGCAGGCCTGGGGATCTGCTTCGGAAAGGGCGCAGCCTTGAGGACCCTGCGGAGCGGGGGCACCCTGAGTCAGAGTCGCTCAACAGCAACCAACAAAAACATGTCATTGACTTGCGTTAAATGTCTTGCTAATTCAGTTTTAGCATTGCTCGTTTTCATTGAGTGAAGAAGACACGGTAAGACCTATGCAGGCGAGAGCTGTGTGATGTGGAAGCTTGTCCGAGAAGGGAAACTCAAATATGCTCAACCAAAATGAGCAGCAAGATTAACGGTTTAATGCTGCTATTGTAATTGGTACTCATGTCGACGTGAAAAACAACACGTTAAAGCGACCATTTTGTAGGCAAAGGGCATTTATAGAGGTCTAGATAAAGACATGTACATATATGCAAATATATTTATATGAGGATGGGGAAATAGATCTATGAGCCTACATTTATAGGTTTAGTATTAAGGTAGCAGAAGGACATTGGGCCTCCACTCAAGTACTCCCTCAACGCAAGAATATTTTCTTCTAGTAAATTGGCATTCTATGATGCTCACCTTCCCGACACAACCGCTGAAGACAAAGCGGGTGAATAAGCAAATGTGGTGAAGAAAGCTGATAGTGCCCCGCTATCGAAAGATATAGCGTCTCGGGTCTTAAAAGCATGAAGCTAACCAAGCGGCCATCTGGCTGAGAAGCAACAAAGCCCACATGGAACAACATATCAACCTGTGTGATCACGAGGTGTCGAACGGATCACTGAAGACAAATGGGTGCATAAGCAAATGTGGCGAAGAAAGCTGATGGTGCCCGACTATCAGAAAGTATAGCGTCTGGGTCTTAAAGTCTTGAAGGTAATCAAGCGGCCATCAAGCTCAGAAGCAACAAAGCCCACATGGAAGAAGCACACCAGCCTATGCAACCATGAGGTGTCAAAGGGATCAGGTATAAGGCATCATCAGAACAAAAAATCTTACCATAGTGAATGATGGGGGCAGTGCGGAGTGGAGATCCAAAGCCCATTAGTAGGCCACTGGAGATCCCCTTGCAGAGGGGTCTCGGGGAGGAGATGAGCCAGTCAGGGTGCAGTGTAACAACGATGAGAAATACAACTTTCCTCTAGTTCCTAAATGTTTCCTCCCCGCTCCCACTACCATGACTCGAATTCGACCTTGCAAGTCTGGCTAGACCAGAGGATGTACACTGGTACAGATAGGAACTGAAAATACAGGGAATCCAGGGCGGATGAGCCCTACAGGACCAGTGGTGTGAGTGGTGAAACAGGGAGGGTAAAGGGAGAATGGGTAGGAAAGAGGGAACCGATTACAAGGAGCTATATGTGACCTCCTCCCTGGGGGACAGACAACTGAAAAGTGGGTGAAGGGAGACGTCGGACAGGGCAAGATATGACAAAATACCCATTTATAAACTATCAAGGGCTCATGAGGGAGGGGGGAGCGGGGAGGGAGGGGAAAAATGAGGACCTAATGTCGGGGGTTTAAGTGGAGAGAAAGTGTTTTGAGAATGATGTACAAATGCGCTTTACACAATTGATGTGTGTATGGATTGTGATAACAGTTGTATGAGCCCCTAATAAAATGTTTAAAAGAAAAAAAAAAAGCGACCATTTTGTTCTCTGCCTGAGAAATGACGATTTGGGATCGTTTCGTTTGAAGGTCTAAGTGGGTTATACTCTTGGACGCTCCCTCAACCATCGGGAAACATTTATGGAGGAAAGGAATGCTTTCCCAATGGGCTGCAACCGGAAAATCCGGTGAAAATACAGAGGCAGCTGCTTTATCGTAATGCCGGCTGCATTCCTCGATTTCAAACAAAAACAAAACAAAAAATGTTTTCTCCTTTGATCGTGAGCTGGGCGGAGGAGTCCCGAGCAGACCATCACGGTCACGTTCAGCAGCCCGTGCGCGTTTGTGTCAGCGTGTCGGTTGCACGTCTCCGCACGGCCCGGGCTGTCCCTGCGTCTTCCTGCAGGGTTCCTGCCTCCGCTCCTCCTCCTATCGGCACCCTCCGTCCTGGGGTAAATGCTGCCCGTTGGATCGAGCTTAAACGGCTGATTGTTTTACCACTCAGGGGTGAGTTCGGTTCCAGACCTGAAGGGTGACTCAAAGGCACCGTCTTAGGAGTCCACCGGTCTCCATCCAACCAATCTCCCCGGTTTCTTGTATGATTTCAAGTTCCATGATTTCCTCCCCCTCCTCCATGCCACGTTTGTCCGCCTTCACAGCAGATTAGGTAGGAAGCAGAATTTTCAGGTAATACATTCCTCTGAAATTGCCAAACGCAAGGTCATCAAGGTGATTCCGACTCACAGAAACCAGATGGTCACTCACCAGTATGACACCACTGGAAGCCCTTTTATGACCCAGGGGCTGAAGGTTCCCCAGCCCTGCTGTAGACCTCACAGTTAGCGGCCGAACACATAACCCACTGTGTCACCCGGAGTCCTTATAGGTTCTCCTAAACCAGGGGTCCTCAAACTACGGCCTGTGGGCCACATGCGGCCGCAGAGGACATTTATCCGGCCCGCCGGGTATTTTTGCTCCATTTGTTTTTTTCCTTCAAAGTAAGATATGTGCAGTGTGCATAGGAATTTGTTCATAGTTTTTTTAAACTATAGTCCGGCCCTCCAATGTTCTGAGGGACAGTGAACTGGCCCCCTGTTTAAAAAGTTGGAGGACCCCTGTAACCCATGAATTAAATAAAGAACACATGCACCAGAAGACGGACCGGATGGCCCTTGTGAAGGAAACTTGCAAGACCCCAGAAAAACGAGGCGACTCTGTGGCATTCGGGCTCTTCCTGGGCTTCACTGTAACCGACCCCTGCTAGCTGTTTTTCAGTGTTTATTACAAATTTCCCGAGCAATTCTGTTACAGGTGGGGACAAATTATCCTGTTTTCCTCCTTAGCAAAAAGCTTCCCCTTGATGCTCCTTCAGCCCCATCTCAGGGAGGCTCGCCACGTCTAGCATGAGGGCAGACTCCAGCCCATACAGTGTTTGCTTTCTGGCAGTCCTCTGGCATCCACCCCGCCCCCCGCCCCGCCCACTTTAATCCCGTTCCAGCCTGGGACAGTTCCTATAGCTTTGCAGAGGTTGTAGACTCCCCCAGGGTGTGTTTTTCCCGTGATACATTGGATTAGAAGCCAACAGTGCAACTAAATGTGGAAGATGCAAAAGCAACCACACTGAGCTTATGCCCCCCACCCACCCACCCCGCCCCCATCATCCTTTCCCTGAGAAAACCCCCTCTATTTCCCAGAAACGCTTCACCTAACCTGAGACTTGGAGTTATTTTCATAATGACTCTCACCCGCCTGTCCCCAGCTCTCCAGACAGATGTGTTAAATAAATGGGTTTGGCAGCACAGTCAAAGCTGGATCTGCCTTCTGAGAGGAAGTGTGGAGTATCTGCCCCCCACTGAATGCATGAGAGCCGCTTCAGCTCAGCCTCTGGGGGGCTTTCAAAATGTAATTCCCCGAGACAGCTGCCCTGTGAAACCTTTTGCACCTTGAACGGAAACGAAGGCCCTGTCCCCAGGTCATTAACTAGTAAATTGGCCCAAACCTAAGTCTTGCGGACCTCTAAAGCAAAATGACTTATTAGAGAACCAACAGTTACTTTAAAGTCAGGAGGAGGATCTAACCCAGGGATTGGTGACCCTTTCCTGCCAAGGTCTATGTGGATAGTTACACCATTATTCTCAGGCCACGCTGGTCAAATAAGGACTTCACCCCTAATGTGATGGCTGGGAAAGACTGGACGTTCTACTCCAGTAAAGAGTTATCACCTCGGAAACCCACCGGGGCAGTTCTACTCTGTGCTGCAGGGTCGCTGTGAGTCAGCATCGGCTCGATGCAATGAGTTTGATTTCTTTTTTTGTTGTTCTTATTTTTGTTTATTAAATACGCTTATTGGGTGCTCTTCCACCTCTTATCACAATCCATACATGCATGCATTGTGTCAAGCACATTTGTACATATGTTGCCATCATCATTTTCAGAGCCATTTTCTTTCTCCTTGAGCCCTTGATATCAGCTCCTCTTCCCCCCTCCGCCTGCCCACCCCCCACCCCCTTGCCCCAGATGGAATTCTTTAGTGTGGTGGATGGCGGGGACTTCTCATGGGTGAGGTTTGTG